AACCTAAAACGGCAAGTTGGAAATATCTTAAGTGCTATCTTTACTAATGGCTTTATAATTTCCACACTTACTTATCAATACAAAGCACATGATATTGCCAAGTTATATAACTGTGTCATCCATATTTCCCAGTTATTTCCCTTTTTTCACTTTGAAAATAGGGCCTTGTCTGGTTAACCTATTTCGGCAAGTTGGATTTATCTTAAATTTCTCCTAATTGCTTAATTTCTTTACTGATATCTTTCATATTTAGTAGGTGGATACCTTTGATGGTCCTCCAATTTTTTTTTTGAGTAAGCAGTCTCTAGGGTCAAGGTCAAGGTCACTGGTTTAAAAAATAAATATAAACCTTTTTGCTCATACAGCCTTTAATTTTTAGTTGATGTCTTAGTTTAATACAAACACCTCCTTCTTTGGGTGTAGTATGGGGTCATTTGGGTCAAGGTCAATGTTACCAATGTCAAGGTCACCAATGTTAAAAATAGATTTTTACATTTTTACAGGTGTATTGACCTTATTCTATAGACAGATATTATTTATAATTGATAGAAACATAAAACTTTGATGTAGTTAGTGGTCAGTTGGGTCAAGGTCACCAGTGCTAAAATAGATTTTTACACATTTGCTCATACAGCCTTTATTAAGTGACAGATATATTTTATATTTGGTAGGAAGATAACTTGCATTGTATTCATACTTTTGGGGTAGGGATCAGTGGGTCAAGGTCACTTGTGCTAAAAATAGATTTTTACACTTTTGCCCATACAGCTTTTATTTATTGACAGTTGTATTTCATATTTGGTACGAAGATAACTTGCTTGGTATTCTTCCTTTGGATGGAGTAAGGGGTCAGTTGGGTCAAGGTCACTTGTGCTAAAAATAGATTTTTACACTTTTGCCCATACAGCCTTTATTTATTGACAGATGTATTTCATATTTGGTAGGAAGATAACTTACATGGTATTCTTCTTTTGGATAGAGTTAGGGGTCAGTTTGGTCAAGGTCACCAGTGCTCAAAATAGATTTTTACACTTTTGCCCATACAGCCTTTATTTAATGACAGATGTATTTCATATTTGGTAGGAAGATAACTTGCATGAAGTTAAATATTTTTCAACTTCACAAGTCAGAGCAATGACTTGGCAACTTATATTTTTCACAATTACAAAATGCCATGACTTTGTCAAGTTATAAAACTTGTGTTTACAATTTTTTGGCGATTTTTCTGTCCATAACTGAGTGAATGGGTAAACATTTTTTGAAGTATTGCTACTGACAAGAATCTGAGCCGGGGGCATTTGTGTTTAACAAACACGTTCTTGTTTTTCTTAAAATCGTTTAGTTGGGAAGTAAAAAGGTGGTATGAGTTTAGATGTTTGGGAAAATTGCATGGCTTAAAAGACATTTTATTTGGGAAGTGGCCTTTTATAATCAAAGAAGAATTTATAGGCCTTTGTTGTATGAGGAGAAAAATTACTGGACTATAATTCTAGTATCTATCAATGTCTCAATAAAACTTTATACCTACTATATATGTATACATTGCCATTCAGAGCAAAACTGGGAAAAATTGTTCTCCACAAATCAAATTTGGTACAGTGCTAGAAATGATTTTTAATTGATTAAAGTTTTACAGCAATGATGTTGAAATCGAAACTCAGATACATGTATATGTGATTTCTTTATGTTACTATTCTCATTCAGGTTGAAAAGGGCTTGTACTAACTTGATTTATGAAAATATTTATATGCAAAAGGCATTATTTTGTATTATCATAATTTAGCAATGTTTACTACTGTATGTATCCAATGAAATCTACTCATTTCCTTATGTATATTTTTCCTGTAATCAAATAGAATAACATAATGATATCATATTTTTAAACTGCTTTTTTAACTGATTAAAGCTTAGCAACTGTGATAAAAGTCCTAAGGTAATTGGTGATTATTTATAGTTCCAGAAGAACCAGTGACTATAAAAAAGGTAGGACCTCCAAAAGGTCGTGAGATAATTCAGTATGAAGACATGTTCAGTAAGAAATCCACACCAGTTGTTGAAGAGAAGAAGAGTACAGTCAGGCTGACAAAATCTGCCTCAGAGAGTGTAATAAGACCTCGGTTTTACAGCTAAACAGGGGACCACCTAAGGTAACTTTATGTTGCAACTAGTGTTGTTATATTTTTCTTGTCCTTCGGGATCATTGATACCAGCACTATTAAGTGTTGAGAATTGAGTACCGCTCAAGCCGGTGCTAGGGGGGCGTGAGGGATGTTGCACATATTCATTAACCCTCATGTACAGACTCGATCAAACCGAGTCTGCAATTCTCTGGTAATTTTGTTGTGATTAATACTTCCGAGGGATCACTTTGTTTCCAGATTTTTATGTTTTAAGTTTATAAAATATATTATTTTATGCATTTATAAAGTTATATTAAAACTGTTTTGAAGAAGAGTTAGGTGTTAGAATATTTAGACCTAAACCTGCTGTATTTTAGCTCCCCTGTCACAAAGTGACAGGGTGAGCTTTTGTGATCACTTTTCGTATGGCGTCCGTCCGGCCGTCCGTAAACTTTTACTTTAAATGACATTTCCCCATATACCACTAAGTCAATTTCATCCAAACTTCACAGGAATGTTCCTTTGGTGGTCACCTTTGAAAATTGTTCAAAGAATTTAATTCCATGCAGAACTCTGGTTGCCATGGCAACCGAAAGAAAAAACTTTAAATATTTTTCTTTTAAAAAACCCTAAGAGCTAGAGCTTAGATATTTGGCATGAAACATCTTCTAGTGAGTGTCTACCAAGTTTGTTCAAATAAAAGCCCTGGGGTCAAAATTGGCCCCGCCCCAGGGGGTCATTGATTTTCCCTATATGCATATAGTAAAAACTTAAAAATAGGTCCTCTTTTAAAGAACCCAAAGAGCTAGAGCTAAGATATTTAGCATGAAACATCTTCCAATGAGTGTCTACTAAGTTTGTTCAAATAAAAGCCCTGGGGTCAAAATTGGCCCCGCCCCAGGGAGTCATTGATTTTCCCTATATGCATATAGTAAAAACTTAAAAAATCTTTTTAAAGAAATCAAAGAGCTAGAGCTAAGATATGTAGCATGAAACATGTTCTAATGGGTGTCTACCAAGTTTGTTCAAATAAAAGCCCTTGGGTCAAAATTGGCCCTGCCCCGGGGTCATTGATTTTCCTTATATGTATATAGCAAAAACTTAAAAATCTTCTTTGAAAAAACCCAAACAGCTAGAGTTTAGATATTAAGCATGAAACATCTTCTAGTGAGTGTCTACAAAGTTTGTTCAAATAAAAGCCCTGGGGTCAAAATTGGCCCTGCCCCGGGGTCATTGATTTTCCTTATATGTGTATAGCAAAAACTTAAAAATCTTCTTTGAAAAAACCCAAATAGCTAGAGTTTAGATATTAAGCATGAAACACTTCTAGTAAGTGTTTATAAAGTTTGTTCAAATAAAAGCTCTAGGGTCAAAACTGGCCCCGCCCCAGGGGTGTCATTGTTTTTAACTATATGTGTATAGAAAAAACTTATAAAATCTTCTTTTAAAAAACCCAATAAGGTAGAGCTTAGATGTTTAGCATGAAACATCTTCTTACGGGTGTCTACCAAGTTTGTTTCAAATAAAAGCCCTTGGGTTAAAATTGGACCTGCCGGGGGGGGGGGGGGGGGGGAGATCATTGTTTTTCATTATATGTGTGTAGTAAAAACTTATTAACATCCTGAAACATCTTCTAATGGGTGTCTTCCAAGTATGTTCAAATAAAGCCCTGGGGTTTAAACTGGCCCCGCTCTGGGGGCCTATATACAGGTGAGCGACCTCAGGGCCATCATGACCCTCTTGTTTAATAAAAGCCCCACCTGAAGGTTGGTGGCAGGAGAACAGAAGGTCCTTTTACTTTGAAAGGCAACAGGACTTTGTTATAATTAGCTGTAACATTAACACCTATACTTATTGTCCTCCGGTGACTGACGTAGGTTTTATGACCTCATTCGTCATTTTATTAACAACAGTGCTTGAATTGTCATCAATCTCATCTTATGAATAGATCAAGAGGAAAAGTTATACAGCAATGAAATTGAAAAGTTAAAGTAGAGATTTTACAGGAATATATCATATTTATGTAATGTTTGCAGGTGGAAGTAAAAGATGCCACTGTAAAGACATTTGCAGAAATCATGGCGGAGAAGAAGAGGAAACGATTGTTAGCTCAACAAGAAAAACCATATACACCAATATCATTTGATGATAAAGGTAGGAATATTATTATATTTCTATAAAGTGTAACATGGAAAAACTATATATAGCTATTTCATTTGATGTGTTGAAATAACTGAGATTTGATAAAATGGATACATTTAACAATATATCTAAAAGTTATTTTGGATATTGAAAATTTATTATTAATTAAATACAAGGTCCTTGAGGTAATTTTTCCTATCATAGTTTCTTCTTTGTATATTCAAAATCACTTAATCCCCAAAAAAGAAAGGGAGATGGCCAAGTGGTTTAAAGGTGTATGTGTCTTTCAAATCAGGGAATATGGTTTTGAGTCTTTTTCACAACCATAATTCCTTGTATGAGACCAATACTGGTTAGTTCCAGGAAGTGGATTCGAAAATGATTAAAAGAAGCTTTAAATCTTTTGTAAAAATCAGCTTTAATATGCACATATTGTGTGTTAACAACTAAAAATTTGGCACATGGATTATATATTCTCAAAGAATTAAGACCTGTTTTGTCTATAACTTATTATTTGTATTTCAAATCCTTTTATCCCTGCATAATCGTAAAAGGCGACCAAATGGTTCTAATAACTGGAAACTATGTATCTATTGGCTTTAGCAGGTAGGATAGTTTTGACCCCTGGTGTTGCTTTAAGTTTGTAACACCCGAGGTTAGCAAAAATCATCTTTCCTGTTTTGGCGCCATATGACGTATATTATGTCGGTGCGCTGTATAACCAAATAAATCAAACTTACTCAATATAATCAATATTTCTGCATAGTTGTGTATATTTTATTTAATTTCTATAGAATATATTAAGCAACCTCCATATCTTCTATTCAGTGTTCATACAATGTTTAAATGTGTTTCAGAATCATCACAAGGAAGTATATCAGCAGATGACAGGCTATCACCTACACCATCACAATCCACAATATCATCCAGCATTTCTAACATCTCTAGTCCAGTAAAAACATTGTCTCAACCACCAAGTGCTTCAAATACAGAAAAAACTGAAACGAAATCTCGCTGGAAAAAACGCAAAACGAGCATTCCAGAAGTTTCTGCACCGGAAAAAATTATTACAGAAACTCAGAAAAATAAATTCGAAATCACAAAAGATAGTAAACTTTCAAGTGAATCAGATATGTTTGTAGTGGATAAAAGTGAAAAGGTGGATGAATCTGGATTTGACGAAGAATTTACCTCACTAACATCTGTATCACCTGTGAAAACTGAGCCATCTAATACTTTTAATGAAAGGTAAGGCTGTTTTAACCCTGAACCTGCTGAATTTTTAAAATTTTTGGAAAAATCCATTATCATAGGATTCATACAGTCTTAAAAGGTGCTTAAATTTGAGTCCCTTTCTTAAAAAGTGCTTTCAAATGTAAAAAAGTGCTTAAAAGTCCTTGAAATTGATTACTGTCTTGAAAAGTGCTTAAAAAGTGCTTAAATTTGCTGAAAATATGCTTGTAATTGATTGAATGACATAGTATTAATAAAAATCAACAGTTAACAAAATCAAAAAAATGATCCAATTCAGTATCAAAATCATTGAATTATTTCCTCAAGGTAATAGTAAGTTGACAAATTGCAGTTGTTTTGGACTAATTTGTATTTGATTCACCCTTTGTTGTTCTTCTATAAAAGCTTAAAATTTTGGCAAGAAAATGTGTATAATTCAAGAAAATGGTGAATAAACTATCCTTGGGTTGAATAATGTTTTGAAATATGTGCAACAAATGTGCTTAAAAATGGGAATACGTGCTTAAATAGTGCTGAAAAAGTCCTTGAATTTTGGCATTGGATGTCTGTATGGAGCCTGTATCAATTTTGGATGTGCACTCTGGTCTGGCTCTATACTGGTGATAAAGGCTAATCACTATAAGTTTTATCAGCTTAAGGGCTAAGCCAAGGAAGCTTTTGAGTGTTGATGGTTTTATAATTTGCTCGTGTTTTTTTTATGTACAAATGGCCGCTACACACATTGTTGTAATTATGCTCTGATTGGCAGACAAAGATTAAAGGGACATTATGCCTCAGATATTTGATTTATTAAATTCTGTAGAAATGTCAAACATGAGTTTAATAATGTTTAAACAATGGATTTAGAGCATGATAGATGTTTATCAGCTGAGGAAAGTAGCACTGAATGTGCAGTAATGTGTCCTATAAGTAATAAAATGTAAACAAAGTAGTAATTTTACTTCCATACAAAATACTGATTCATAACAATGCATTTTGACATGGATTAGAGAAGAAATAAGTCTGCTGTTATTAACATTATATTCTATTGTTTTAAAAATCTCTTCTTCTACTCATGTTTCCTTATTTTCTGTCACAGTAAAAAAGGGAGAGAAGAGAAGAAAAGCATATCGGAGAGTTTTATGGACTTTGAAGACGATTTACTCAACATGGATGATGATGACGACATAGATCTCGAGCTGGATGGTGGCGGCAAGGATACTGATGAACTAATGAGAGAAATTGATGAAATGCTCTCTTAAAATTACAACTTTGTTTAACGGTTAATGTGATGTGTAAGCATTCTATAATGACAGTTGCTCAAATGCTATGACTAAAGATGAGCGAAGACTGGAGAGTAGTGTTTCATTTGATGATAAAGAGAAAGAGATTGCTAATGCTATAGAAAAAGAGATTGTAATAGGTTTAGAAGTTTACATTTTGTAGATAGTCACAGTGCTTCTTTGCATACGGTCTGAGTGCTATTTTAATGCCTATTATATTTTCTGTCTGAAACTTCTGTACACAACACCAGTGTTATACTTTGTTAAAATGTAAATAAGACCTCATTCTTCTTGCCCAGGACTGAAGGCCATTTTGAACTAGGCTTAATTTGTATATTTATATTTCATGAAGTATTTTAGTTAGATGAGATACTAATAAAAATGACATTTAAAATTTTGTTGAGTTGCACGTCCGATGAAAGTTCAAGAAAGAGATTTAGCACTTGGTTAATAATAATTATAGCAGCAATTTAGACATGTTTCCAATGTATTTGAATGCCTGCATGCTATGTTATTGGTCAGTTGTACTTACCACAAAAAAACAACAACAACCAGTCATGGATATAGGACATCTTTTAAAAATTTCATGATTTTATTAAAAAAATGTGCTATAGGAAAAGTGTTAAATTTTCTGATGAATTATTATGAAATAAAAATTTGTTAATATGATTAGAGGCCATAGAGGCTATTTATATATATATTTTTATTGGTTAAGATGAAACTAAAGTGAATAGTTTTAGAAAAGCTTAATTTGTGGACACTTAAATAACTTTGGGATAAAAGTTGATTTTTTTTAAAGAGATTTTTGTCATTATTTTATAAGTTGATTTAATAAGTGAATTCTGAGAATTTAAGTTTATAGATTAGAAGAAAAAAAAAGACAATGACTAATTGTGAATGAAATAAAACAACACCAAAAAAACCAACAACAACACTAACTTATGTTGTTATTTAAAAAAAAAACAAAAAACAAATTGATATGCTCAAATCAACCAATATGATGTGTTAAATTGTTATATATTTTTTTCTTCAATTTTAAGATTGTCAAACAGTGGTTGATGGTTACATGGTATATGAAGTACCCATTGCATTTCATCTGTTATAGACACAGAATTTATAAACCTTTATTCATATGTTTTCATGAAACGTTTGTGTGCAATACATTAAGCAGATATGATTTTGAGAAACACAAAGAACTGTTTTAACATGTCTATGTGCTTAATTGTCAGAGCTACTTTGACAATAAAAAAAAAAGAAAAAAAAAGTAGTTACATGTAAATAGTGTCTAACTTTGCAAGACATTTACTCTATGTGTACGTTTGTTTAATTTACTGGCAACCTTTGATATAGTGCAATCTTTCAAGAGAGTATGAATTATTAATGTATACTTTAAAATTACAAATAATTAATTGATGAAATTGAATATTGAATGACGTAGATAGCCATGTCTTCACAGTCTGTCTATGGTTTATTAAAGGCCAGCTGAATCTGGTGGAAATAACGTTTTTCCTATGACACAATTGTAAAAAAATCAATTTCTGTATAGATTATGGAAAGATGAATTATACATAATTGTGAATAAAAAATAAAAGAAAAATTTTGCGTCTTTCTTTTAATTTTGTTCCCTTCTCTATTTTTTTTGAATGCTTGATAAAGTTGGTATTTCAAGGGAAAATTAACAGATTTAATATCAACCGATTTTAGTCTCTGTCTGAAAGAGGCTCTTAAGAAGAGGAAAATATATCCTTCATTTATTTCCAAATTTGAAAGAAATAAATATAAGGACACTAGCTTCTAAACCACTTGGCCATTTTCTGGATTATCTGTCAAGGTATAGCCTTTTGGTACACTGATTTGAACTACTATTTATTTATTTATTTATTAGAGTTTCAATAATGATAATGTATAATTCAATCATTCAATCAATGTACAATGCAATATATGACAGTTGCATACATATAAAACCTTTCCGGATACTTTTCTAACAGCCCTCGTATATGAAACCAATCAAATATTTGATTCACTAGAGATACTATATAATTATCAACACTACATGGGTGAAAGTTTTCAGGACTATTCCTGAAGTTCAGGATTTTCAGTCTCCTTAAAGCCTTCTACTTCCTATGTAAAACTATAGAAAAACTGCTAAATTCAGGATTTTCAGGATTTTTAAAATTTCCAACTTTCACCCATGACACTATCCCATATTTCCAAGACTTCTCAAGCAATCACCTTGATATGGGACCAAGTTAAAAAATCTAAATTTATATACTTCTAATACAAGTTCATTCTTGATATAATTATAAGAAATCATCATGAAAGGGGAGTTAAAATATCCACATACTAAAATTTATATATCTCTAACCTCATTCTGAATGATATTTTAGTATTTTCAAGTAATTTGTTATCTTCTTTATCGATTTCCATGATTTGCTTTTGATAGATCAAATTTTTATCGTTATATACTTTTAATGTTCCATTCTCTAAGACAATAATTTCATGAATTGACGCTTTCAGCTTCCATTTTAAGTTCAATTTTTGTTTGAAAATAGAGGTATTGTTACAGTTATGTCGCCATTGCCGTTGCCGTCCGAAAACTTTTAACTTTGATCACAACTTTTTAAGTTCTTGGTTTGTCGTCTTCATTGCGCCTGGTCTTAAATGAAACATTAATCTCCAAAAAATTATTTCCAGTCCCGCCATTTAAAAAACCGTCAGTGGTGTCCCTTTAATAAGCAGGTTAATTAATTCTTATTAACTACAAATTAGAAAAAGAAAAACGGTCAGATCCTTTAACACGGAGTTATGGCCTTTGATTAGTTTAAATGGGCACATTTTGTTTAAAATTTTGCAGGTTATTAAAAGAAAATAGTTATCGATTGGTCAATATTCTCACGTTTTACGGAAGCCGTGCTATCACGTGCTAATATCCGTGTGTTTTGGGAAATCTTCAAGAACCTTTCAGTATAATGGAGGCTATTGACTTATCTCTTCACCTCGGTGCGTGCACGTCGCAGAGAAGGCACAGAACATAGGCAGAAGATTTGGAGCTTGGCTGATCTATTACTACCAAGGACTCAATGACTGGTTAAACACGAGCACTGTTAAATTACATATAGGGCCAAGCTACCCCTTTGTCGCTGGGAAGTTATAAAGATACGTTTGTATTTTTTAGTATGTATTCTGATGATTTCTTTTAATAAATGCCAAGCATTTTCTTTAATACTCTTAGCTCGGCAATCGTGTGAAGAGAGAGGATATAAAATTTTGCGAAGAAACTAAATGAAACTTAATTAGTTTGTGAACGCGTTTATCTATGTTCGAAAAGTGTTTAATTAACCAATGAACTTATGTTTAAGAGAGCTGAACCAAATTGTTGCATCCAAAGTTTCAAAACGTTTCATTTCGATACATAGTATTACATATAAAATATAACGGTTTTAGAATTATATACCTGAATCTGTGATCAAATGCATTATGCTTAAAAATTGTGAGCTATTTGTATAGTCATACCTGTTGTTTCTGTTTTGCATGGTTGTATGTTTTATGATGTTGCCATGTTTATCAATCCCATGTGAGAGAAATGAATAAAATACACTTTACTTCTTTGTTGAATTGTGAATTTTAAGCATTCTTTAAAGCTGTATGCCTCCAGATGAGCGAAAATATTTCAATAAAAACAAATTTGAGAAAAATGTACTAAGATTTTAGGAAAAGTAAAAATATTCAAGATTCAAGAAGATTCAAGTAATAATTTACATGTTATGTGCGATTAATGACTGATTATTCAGTATTTATGATTAAATTTCTACTGCGTTACTAACGCAGTAAGAGCAATTTTTGCATATTTTGTCCTCTTTTTCATAATTTACGTGGGCTGTAAGTGCCATTGATAATTTGCAAATTGCTTCCTTTTGGTTATTTCACTAAATACTACTTTTAAACACATTTTCAAAATTTTCATGAAAGTTAGCATGAATCTGGAGGCGTGTTGCTTTAATGTTGAATAAGTAAAGTTGACATGAGTGTTACAGCTAACTTGATAACTGATAGAAAGAAAGTAAACAATGGGATAGAAGAGGAAATGGTTATAGGTTCATAATGTGGTTCTTTTGTAGATGGACATAATGCTTTTTTCACGTGGTCTTAGTTCACGTTTTACATACCAAATGTGAATTATTCCGTCTTTTGATCACTTCTGTACATATCATCAATCTGATACTTTGTTAAAATATAAATTAAGTAGATGGCCATTGGTACATTTATTTGATTACTTAGTAAAAGTGTTATTGACATGTCAAATGTGACCCATTTCCACTTTTTAAACCTTCGGTACAAAAAAGATATGAATAAGATCGCATTTAAAATACACAGGACAACAGTAGATCTTTAACGATAAGCCCTTCATATGAATTGTTTTAGGTATGTGAAATACTAATAAAAAAGCCATTTAACACTTATTGAATAGCACATCAATTAGGTTTAGGAAAGAGTTTTAGCACTTGATTAATAATAATAACAACAAGTTACTCGCTGTTTTTGAATGCCTGTATGCAATATTAATAATTAACCCTGGCAGCAAACAACTATAAATGATGGATGTATGAAATTTTTCAAAAGTTCAGTATTTCATTCAAATATTCAAGTGCTATAGTAGAATTGTAAATATAATGTAAATTTTTATAACGTTTAAGAAATCTTTGGTGCTTGTTACCTGAAAAAGTAGCGATAAATGTAAAATTATTTGCCATAAAAATATCAAAATGTAAACAAAGAAGTATTTTGACTTCCATACAACATACTAATATTTATTGCCTGAAAAAGATGGTTTCAGTATTTGGCTTAAAGGTAACTTTGGGTACTATAAAAGTACACCAAAATCAAGATTTTGAGAAATAAAAATAAAAGTATTTTTGAGGCATAGTTGGCCTTTAAGGACCACACGAAAAGAAACAAAAGATAATACTTTTGAATAACTTAAATAACTTTGGAATTGTTTTTTTTTAAGGTTTTCGTCTTATTAATTTGTTGATTTTATTTGTGAAACCATAGACTTTAAAGAGAAGAATATAATTGAAATTAGTATAAATAATTATGATGAATTTCAAAATTGTTGCTGCTAATTTTGAGAAAATTATAAACCGTGATGTATGTAACGTGACAGAGCCCAGTCGATGACCATTGGAATACCGCTTTTGATTTGAACAGATTAGGTTAAAGTCACAGCGAAATCCTCAAACTCCCTCAGCCACACGTTTGTGAAACATTTTAATCATAACATAATTTTATGCATTAGTTATTACTTCTTGCGCTTGAACTGTACAAAACATACACACGTATGTATATGTGCCAATGTTAAAGTGAAATAAGTGTCATATGGGCACATTTTCATTTTGTTTTTATTTTTATGAACTCTGTGTTTATACAGAAAGAAAGAAACAACTGAAGAAAGAAAAAGAAAGAAAGAAAAGATACTATCTTCTTTGCCGTTGTACCGGTTTCGAGCAATTTTACTTGAATATTGCCCAAGGATTCTCCTGCATAGCGTTTTAATAAATATTTGATTGACTACATCCAGTGCATAAAAGTTAACGTAGTCCTTAAAGATAATTTTGACAAATTAATGCTTGATGAGAGGTTTTGTAAATTAACGCTATTTATAAAATTATCCATAAAATAATTAGCTACTTCAGGGTTATAATCTATTTCAATGATTTTCAAAGATAAATACGTTCAGTAAGTTCAAGTTACATCTTACCGTCAATATAAATGTTTCTTATATGTTTCAAAAAGGTACTAAACATAAATCTAATTTGTCAAGTTTTTATTTTATCATTTCATGTTTGTTCTATTATTTTTTAAGTGACTTGCAAGTTTATTTCAATTGATGTCATTTTGGTAAGGTATTGGACATTTTATTATTTTACGTATGAAATTATTCGTTTTGTTTATTGGAATGAAATTAATTCAAAAGATCAAAGAACTCTAAGGACAAAATATATAACGACATACCACTGCCACGCGGAGAGGACGGTAATTTATACCTACAATTAAAGGTAGTTTTCTTGATGAACGATTGGTCGTTTACATTAAACATTATGTGACATTATGCCCATCCATGGGTAGATATAGAGTGATCAGGTGAAAGTCAAAATAAGTTAACATTTTCTCATTATTCCTTTCAATTTTATAATTTACTACACATGAACGATAATTAACTCACTAGGCTCTGTGAAATGTGTGTAATTATCCGTCGGAATGTATATGTAACTTTCAATTTATAAAACGAGTGGGGCAGTCTATCTATGTAGCAGGTGATTGGAACTGTCGTATTGGTAATAAACCTGACTACATTGTTTGTGACAAAAATATTAGAAATTATGACCCCCGATAATCACCTTGTCAGGGCCTCGCTTGATAATTTGTGCAATACATGCGGTCACAAAATGCTTGACTTGTGTAAAGCAACCGGTTTGCGGGTAGCTAACGGGAGATTAGGCCAGTTAGATAATTCTTGTGGTTTTACCTATTATAGCCGCGGCGCGCATAGTGTAATTGATTATTTACTTCTAAAAGAGCCCGATTTTGATACGCTTAGTATG